ACTTCATGGCTTTGGGTGGGTGGGTGGGTGGGAGCGAGGACAGACGGAGTCCGTGAAGTGGGGCTTGCCTGCCCTTGCTGGCTGCCTCTGCTTCCTTAGGGGCGGGGAAGGGGGCTCATCTGAACCAAGGGTGAGTCTCCCCCTCAGTTTCCCCTGAAGGATCTTCCGTCGCTTTTGCCTTCTCCCTACATCTTCCCTCTGTTAAAAATCCCACCCACACACACACACACTTATTTTCGGGCGGATAGATTTCGTGTCTGAGCATTCTCACATGGCGGTGGGTCTTCCCCCCCCTAAAAACAGTTAAAAAAAGAAAAAACAATATATCCTCATGCAAGAACTTTTCTGCTTCCGATTACCCCCATGCTTAAAAGTTGCAAAGGAAACACGGAAGCAGGGAAGCGGCTGCCCGGCTCCGGAGCTCCACACCATTTTTTTTTCAGAGGGGAATCTGACTCGAGTATAAGCCGAGGGGGTTTTTTTCAGCACAAAAAATGTGCTGAAAAACTCGGCTTATACTCGAGTATATACGGTATCTATCCTTAATTTAATACATTGATCACCATTTGAAGTAATAGTACAGTTTCCAAAATTCCACAATTCTAGTTCTACTCTCTGGAACTCTCCACCACCATCCAAATCTAGTTGGCCTTGACACAGCTGGCATTTCTGAAAACTTTAAAAATGTGGCCATTTCTCCAGGTTTAGGACATTGATGAGGCCCATGAAATTGGCTACTGCTACCACTCTATAGAGATTCATCATGGCTATTGTTATTATGTGTCTTTAAATGAATTTTACTTTTATATGGGCCGCCCAGAAATGATATTGCAAGATGCAAGCTTTCTGAATAGTTTTCAGAGTCAAGTCCTTATCAACACAACTGTTGTCCTGTTCTAGTAAGCAATTTAACAGTTCTCATTTTTTCTAACAATATACCTAGCATTTCAGGACGGCAACAATTTATTAAATGTGACTAAATTTGCCTCTCATATCAGATGATGAATGGAGAAATACCTTTCAATCAACCTTACCTGTGGGTTTTGGGCAATCGCATCGGGCCCAAATCCACATACCAGTCTTCTTCTCGGTGAGTCCTTATGCGTCCTCCCACACGGTTACTGGCTTCCAAAATCACAACCTAGGAGAAAAGAGTACTGATGAGGAATGGATTCTAATTTCTCTCTCTTCTCATTAAGTGTTTGGTGATCTGTACCTCTGTGTGCCTCGCCTTGCAAATCTCCCTTTGATTTCACGTGAACTTTGATTTACCTTTGCAAACCCTGCAACCAGCACCCTTACTGGCTGGAGGTATATTCTCGGTTGGCTATTAATATATTGCAACAATTATTATAAAGTCTGGTCCTTAAATAATTCCTCCTCCTCCTCCCTCTCTCAAAGCCTATTTGGACAAGTCCCTACAGTTTTATTGGCAAATTATTTTCAGAAGTTATTTGCCATTGCCTCCTTTCAGGGTCTGACTGGCCCAGGGTCATCAATTGGTTTTGAACCTAAGACAGAACTAGAACTCACAGCCTCCCGGTTTCTAGCCTGTTGTCTTAATGTCTACATGACACTGGCTCTTCTAGGAGACCATCAATTAAATAAAAAATTCAAATAATTGAAGTAAATATTCACAAATAATAATTAATTAATTTTTCGTCTTTATATTATTCAGGCTTCAGGTGACTTCTGCTGATCACTGGCTGCCAGCAGTTTGGCAATTTGGGTCTCACCATTGAGGTTGACTCACCCATCCTTCCGAGGTTGGTAAAATGAGGACCCAGATTGTTGGGGCCAATATGTTGACTCTGTTAATTGCTTATTGAGGGCTGTAAAGCACTGTGAAGTGATCTATAAGTACTATAGCTAAGTGCTAAGTGTTATTCATCAAATATTATAGAAGTAGTCCTCAACTTACAACCACAATTGGGACCAGAATTTCCATTGCTGAGCAAGGCAGCTGTTAAGTGAGGTGTGCCAAATTTTACCATTTTTTGCCATGATTGTTAAGCAAATGACATGCAAACCCAGATTTTCCCATTGACTTTGTTTATCAAAAGCCAGCTGGGAAGGTTGCAAATGGTGATCACATGACCATTATAAATACATGCCAGTTGCCACACACCCAAATTTTGATCAGGTGACCATGAGGATGCTGTGACATTTGTAACTATGAGAACTGGTCAGACCTCACTTCTTTCAGTACCGTTGTGACTTCAAAAGGTCATTAAACAGACAGTTGAAAGTCAAGGACTATCTCTACTTTCCCATCCCAATGAGTGCTTCAGTTCCAAAACCCTCCCAAACACATCTAATTTGTCTTTTCATCAGCTGAGTAAAAAGGCAGTTGGGTAATTACCTGATGTCCAGCTTCTCTGAGTAATTTGGCGGCAGTCAGTCCACTAATTCCTGCTCCGACAATCACAATTGTCTTAGGTTTCAAGGTCCTTCTTAGACCATGTCTGGCAATAGCCAGCCAGTTTTCATATTCAGGCTCTTGGAAACACTCTTCCAGATTGGTAAGATGATTTTCTGATCTGGGCACACCCAGGAATAGTACTAAAAGAAGTAGAACTAGAAATAAGCAAAAACAGAGAAGACTTTATTTTTGTCCTAACCTCTTCTTATTCTCTACTGATATCTACTTCACTTGCATCTAACAGCTTTTGAATATTTTGGAGTATGGATACTAGATTGAAAAACATTGCAACATGGAGTGCATCTTGTCATGGTTTGGGACATTTCAATAGCTTTGACTCCTCCCCCAAATGTTCTGTTCTCATCCCCAGCAGCTAATAGGTGTGTCTACTGGGCATTCTCTTTGGGGGAGGGGGGGAACAGTTATTTTTTGGTGTAGTGGTTAAGGCACAGGACTACGAACTGTTTTATTTATTTATTTAGTTTAGTTTGTCAAGCATGTATGAGAAAACAAGTATAAGTATGAACATAACATACAGTATAAACATATAACTATAAACTGCTATAAGTATATACATAATAAATGAGTATGAATAAATGGGAACAGTAGGACAGGGACAGTAGGCACGCTGGTGCGCTTATGCACACCCCCTTACAGACCTCTTAGGAATGGAGTGAGGTCCACAGTAGACAGTTTAAGGTTAAAGTTTTGGGGGTTTGAGGATGTAACAATAGAGTCCAGGTAGTGAGTTCCAGCCATTGACCATTCTGTTGCTGAAGTTGTATTTTCTGCAATTGAATTTGGAGCGGTTTATTTTGAGTTTGTATCTTTTGTTTGCTCGTGTGTTATTGTGGTTGAAGCTGAAGAAGTCATTGACAGGTAGGACATTGAAGCAGACAACTAGGAGGTGGTGAGCTCCAGTCCTGCTCTAGGCACAAAGCCAACTGGGGAACTTTGAGCTAGTCACTCTCCCTCAGCTATAGGAAACGGAATGCTGCATGAGCGTGTCTACGTTCTGACAAGGACTGGGGTTAATACTGATGTAAAAAGCATTACCACCAGCCACATCAAGAAAAACTAGCTACTGCTATTAATAATCCAGTATGATTTTTGTGAAAAGTCTTGGCTATGATTGGAAATGGAAAGTAATGTTAATGATGGGTTAAAATATTGCTGATGATGGATTTCCCAATAAAATTCAATATAAAGGCAAGCCAGCTGGATGTGGAATCACAGCCTTATATTAGAATTAGAATTCTTTATCGACCAAGTATGATTAGACACACAAGGAATTTGTCTCCAGTGCATAAGTTCTCAGTGTACATACAATAATAGTGATAGATCATTATCATAGTCATTGTAAAATATATTCCATGTGTTTTGCAATATACTGTAACACGGGATTTTTTAAATATATTTTATGTAGTTGAATTTATAACATTGTAATTATCCTGAGGAATTCCAAATTGTTTTGAATAATGTGCACAATGTTCAGAATAATCTAAATTCAATTAATTATGTTTCTGTAACATTTAATTTATATGACTGCTCATCTTATGTAAGCAGCACTGAATAGTATATATAGTTAAAGCCACTTGTCAGGGTTCCATGCAAGTTGACACCAATAATATAATAATACAAAATAAAAAATAAAAAGTAATGGAACCCAACAAGAATAAACAAAAATGTGGCAGCCCTAATATGTCTCTTTTCCCTGTTCTTCAACTCCCATGCTGTTCTAAGATTTCCTCCTTTATGCCTTTGGATCATAAATACTAATTGCCAACTCATTTACGGGTCAAATGTTTCAAAGGTTAACTGGGCAATATATAATTCATGATCTAATAAACTTATTTTTGAAATTAATTGAGGGGCAAAACAAAAGCTTTCTACTTGAATGATGTACTTATAATAATTCTGCATCCTTTATTCTGTCATTTCATAGGTACTATCTCACTTGCATTTATGAGATCTGCAAAACCCCACAAAAGATCTAAAAATGAGTAATCAAAGAAGATCTGTGCCATGAATTTCCACTAGAAAATTTGCTTTATAACAATACTACAGCAGAAGATAAAATAAATGGAGGAATGCAAGTACTAATATGCTAAGTTTTTTCGATTAAGTATGTGGCAAAATATCTTAAATCAACAATCTTTCATTTACTCCACTATACTGAGATACACACAAATTCCAGCTGATGCCACTTTAGAAGTGGCCATTCCAAGTCAAATACTTCTGGCAATGGGATCCAAACATTCTATCTAAATTTTTTAAACTCTGAGAATTCATCCTACTGCATTTACAGTTAATCTACCAGCTTAATAAAAGGTTGGTTGGTTGGTTGATTCATTCATTTATACAGAATCATATTGTTGGTCTGCCTGATCCTAACACTTCCTAATATAGTGTGTTCCATACATTGACTTCTACTATCATCACTCAGCATGGCACAGTGTATCAAACACAATAATAAAAATAAGTTTAGCTTACTCTACTGCAGCGAAACACAACTCCTGTTCTCCAAAGATCCTTTTCAATAGAAAGATCAGAGACTAAATCTCTGGCTTCATAGGCTTATTATAATACTGAGTTAGAAATAGTTAATGCATTTTAACCTGCTCTGGAATCTCAACAAAATAATTCACTTACAGAAGGACTCCATCATCTTTCCATCAGTTGATAGCACTGACTGTATTTTATGGAGAGCAAATAGTGCTGAAAGGCGTAGTAATAATGTTGTTGAGAATCCAAGAAAACTGGCTGTCTGACATAAAATCTTTCTCTTGCTTTATAATGCAATC